TAAATGTTTTTCTCTCTTCCCCCTCCCCGCCCCCGCCTTCCCTCTACTCTCTAAAAATCAATGGAAAAAATATCCTCTGGTGAGGATTAACAACTTCAAAAAAGAATGTAGGTAAATGTTTCCTTTAGTTTGTTTTTGTTTAACTGAGGTAACACTGGTTTATAAAATTATGTAAGTTTCAGGTGTACAACATTATAATTTTATATCTGCATACGCTATAGCATACACACCAAAGGTCTAGTTTCCATCCATCACCATACAAACGACCCCTTTACTCAGTTCACTCTTCCCCCACCCTATTCCCTCCTGGTAACCACCAAGCTGATGAGTTTTTGTTTTTGTTTTTATGTTCCACAGATGAGTGAAATCATGTGGTACTTGTCTTTCTCTGTCTGATTTATTTCACTTAGCATAATACCCTCAAGTTCCAACCCTGTTGTCTCCTTTGGCTTTAATGATGAAAACTAAATTCTGGAAGCTTGAGTCATCTAGAGATGAGGCAGCAGCAGAAAGCCTAGGTCATGGAGAAAAGCAGATCAGCACTGGAAAAGTCAGGGAGGCAGCAGGCCTGAGTAAGAGGGGTTGGAGAAGCCTTAGTGGATGTCTGGCTAGAGCCGAATGCCTGGAAATGGAAAGGGAAGCTGAAAGTGATTATCACTTCAATGACTCAGGGATGAATCTTTAGGTGTAGCGCGAGGTGGTTTTTTACAGACTAATTTGGCTTAAGGAAGAAAAAAAAAAAGGCATTTTGAAGATTGAAGCAGTTGTACAGTCATGAACTAGCTGGCTGGTTAGTAAGACCTAAAGGGAAAATTTGTGTTTAATTGAATGAATTATACCTAAACAAGAGAACAGAAACCATGTTATTTGTAACATCCCTGTAAGACTAGGGATGTTAGGCTAGAGCCAAGAATTAACTAAGGACAACAAAAATATATGCACTTTTTAATTTTTTGTTCAGGTAAGAACACAAAAAGGATGCCCTTACTTGGGATAAGCAGATAAGCAGACAAGCCAGAACAAATCCCTTTTTCTTCTTTATCATGAAAAAATAAATATTTCAATGGAAAGAATAAAATGAACTTTAAAAGAGTTAATTGAAAACTAAGCGAAGAACTTGTAAGAAATACCCTAGTTCCCTAAAGCTTAACTTTTCTTGTCTAGAAAAACTCCAGCTTAGCAAGGAGAGTTTATATATTTAGGACTTTCATCTAGAATCAGCGCCGAAGACTATTAACACAAAGAGATTGAAGATGGACAAAGAAGTTTTCAAAAAAGAGCAGCTTGATTCTTAAAACCAAGACAAGGGGCTTTTCACAGATCCTGAGCAAAATTAATAAACCTATTATTAAAATAATATCTGGGCATGTAGAAAAGGAAGAAGAAATTCAGAAGTTAATGAGAATTCACTAAGTAATCATTTTCTTTTCTGACTATGTTGCAACTCCAGCAAAGCAAACACATGGGATAGACAAAGCACATCTGCTGTTTAGACTTCTACCTGGGAGAGAGGGGTCGTTTTTTTCCTAATCCCTCAGTCTGAGTAAAAGTGGTGTACCTTCTTCAAATTTCCACAAAGATGCCATGCACCCATGTACATAGATACTACTATGCGACAAGGAATGAAAATATGACTCAGTAATATGTGGGTCCTCATTGTCATCGACAGTATGCTAATTCAGTTTCAGTTGGCATGGAAGGCACCTGAGAATGAGAACCTGAGTGATAATATTGCATACAGACAAAATTTACGAAAGACATAAAATTGGGAGTTAGAATTACTCAGGTAAAACAATGATATTCAACATGTCAACAAGCTAAGTGAATTGACTTAGCACAATAGAATTAAAAGAAATGTTTTTATTGATTTGAGATAGAGAGGAAGGGAGAGGGAGAGAGAAAAAGAAACATCAATGACAGAGAAATATTGTTTGGATGCCTCCCTCACACCCCCTGCTGGGAATCAAGCCTGCAACCTCTTGGTCCATGGGTCGATGCTCAACCACTGAGCCACACTGGCTGGGCAGCAGAATGAAATTTTAATAGATTAGTATGTGAAGTGCTAAACATAAATTATAATATGTATAGGTTGAGAAGGTGTGTTTTGTAACAGTTGTTAAAAAGACTTTACTGCTTGAGAGTTTTAGTAAATTGTAATATAGGAGTCAATAGGGTAATATTACTGCCATAATAGCTCTCAGGATTTACTTGGGGAAATACAGTAATTAGAACAAAGCCATTAAATATCTTTTTACTGTGTGTTGTTTGGATAAAACCCTGAATTCAATTCTTGGGATCATATTTTCAGAGGGATGATGGCAAAGTAAACTACCTTCCAAGAACTTGAGGAGGAAAAGCTGATGGAGCTGGCAGGTACCGAGGCAAACTGAAGCACTTTCCTGTGGAATCAAGGCTAGTTGCATCCTGGAAGCATCCAGAGTGCAACACTGCAGCTCTTTAAAGCCTACTGTATAGGGGACAAGAGGTGGATGTTATTCAGCAGCAAATTTTCAGGTCAATTGAAGGCAAAACTGGGGGTAAAGGAGCAAATGCCAGTGGGTACTACTTCCTCCTTTGAAGTTCTCAACATACTTGGTTGCACATTTTGATCACCTGAGAAGAGCATTTAAAATGCTGATGCTTAGCCCTGGCCAGTTTGGCTCAGCGGTTAGAGCGTCGGCCTGCGGTCCGGAGAGACCCGGGTTCAGTTCCCACTAAGGGCACGTACTTCGGTTGCAGTTTGTCCCCGGCCCTGGTTGGTCGTGCGGGTGGCAGCCACTCGATGTGTCCCTTCACATCGATGTTTCTCTCTCTCTCTCCCTTCCTCTCTCTCCCTCCCACTCTGTCTGTACAAAAAATGGAAAAATATCCTCAGGGGAGGATAAAAAAAAAAAAAAATGCTGATGCTTAAACGCTAGCCCTAGAGATTCTGATTTATTGATCTAGTGTTGGGCCTCTATTAAAAAGTATTTTATCAAGCCCTGGCCGGTTTGGCTCAGCGGATAGAGCATCAGCCTGCGGTCCAGAGATACCTGGGTTCGGTTCCCGCTAAGGGCATGTACCTCAGTTGCAGTTTGTCCCCGGCCCTGGTCCTTCGTGCGGGTGGCAGCCACTCGATGTGTCCCTTTCACATCGATGTTTCTTCCTCTCTCTCTCTCTCTCTCTCTCTCTCCCTCTCTCTCCCTCCCACTCTACCTAAACAAAAAATGGAAAAATGTCCTTGGGTGAGGATAAAAAAAACAACAAAAAAAGAGTGTTTTATCAAAACTCCCCTGCTGATTTGATGTTTTAGGCTACAGAATCACTGAGCTAGACGACTACTCATTGAGAGGTGAAATGAGTCAAAACAGATGGTTTTTCTAAAGTCTCTTCCAAATTTGAGAAGATAAATGGAAATGCACACTTATGGGTTACATACTACAGCTAGGCACTTTCACAATTAATCGTCTCTAACATTTGAATTAATACAGCAAATCCTTTAGCACAGTGTCTGGCATGAAGTAACTCTCAAATATAAGCTATTTTTATTTCATCCTCTCTATAACTGTTCTATGATGGTATTATATCTCTACATCGCAGATAAGGAAACTAAGGCTTTGAAGTTAGATTTCCAAGGCCTGTAATAGAAAATTGCAAAATAAGGATTTAAACCAGAATTAAAAACTAGTTCTAAGTTCTAGAGCCCCTCTGCAGGCCACCTCTAAAACATCTGGAAGTTTATGCCAATCAGTGGTTTACCTGAGTAAACATTTCAAAAATTTAACAAAACCACTTCCTCTTGACCCGTTTGTAAGAAATTTCTCTTCAAATGCATTTTTTGAATAACAGAAGTATAAAAGTAGATATCCACGTTTTTTTGTTTTCTATCGTGGCCTAATGAATGGAACCACCTCTGTAGGTCTGGAGAGCCCCTGAGGACCGGGAATGGATGGAGGCGGCCCTGTAGAACTCAAAGCACTTGAGGAACGGGCAAACACCCCTCACTCCTGTACTGTCTAGCTCTGGTAGGTTAATTACATGCTAACAATGAGAGGGAAAGTTAGCACTCAGGTGATGGCCTGGTTCATGTCCGACCCTTCTCTGGAGCCATGTTGGTGCGGTGGCTGCTTTTAGAACTGAAGAAACGTCTCCGAGGGAGCTGTGATTACTAAGATTGCAGAACTCAGAGGGGTGAGTGCGCTCCCTCTCCCTCTCCCTCACCCACCCACACAGGCCCAAGAGATAAGAAAAATGGAATTTCCTCTCGTGAGCTGCTTACACTAAATGCTCTGTCCCTGACTCTTTGCCTTTGGTGATTAAAATCCATTCAGTGTTTAGGGTTCAGTAGCTTCAATTTAGTATATGTGGTCAGTACAGTTAAGGCAAGAAATGCTTCTAAATAGGTGGGTTTTCTGCCTTCTCTCTGAGAAGAGTGAAATGGAATGCGGGAGAAGAGGAGTATCTATTTTGGAGAAGGCGAGTGGAGTGGGCAATGGCCCCCCTAGTAAGATTCTCCACGTTTTCCTCTATTTCTTTCCCCTGGCTGTATGGAAGCATCAACTCCTCCCCCTGGGCTTCCAAAAGTATCTTTCGGTTGGGGGCGAGTCCAAGTGGAACCCGAAACCTACGGGTCACTAGAAACTACTAGAGCTAGTTAGAGCCAAAGAGGCCTGGCAAGGCAGGGGTGCGTGGAATCTGGGCCGCAGAGGAGGGGACGGCCGAGCGCAGCTCGCGAGCCGTGAGTCCCGGGCGGGCCGGTGGTCGGGGTCCGGCAGGGGGAGGGGGTCCCCGTTTCCTCCTCCCCATCCTCGCCTCCGCGGGGTCTGGTGACGTTGCGGTTTCCTCCTCCCTCCGGCTGAGCCTCGGCGCCCGCCGCGTCCCGCCTTCCTCCGGGCTCGCCCACACCCCACCCGCCCGCGCCGGCCCGGCTCCCAGAAGCGCCAGCCGAGGCTGTGGCGGCGCATCCCGCGGCGCGGCGCCCACCAGCACCGATGGCGCGGAGGGTGCGCTGAGGGCTTGGCTCCGAGGGCGCTGGGCGCCCTGGAGAGAGGGGGCCGGGCCGGGGCTCTGGAGCTTGGGCCGAGGCTGCGGAGGCGCCGCCCGAGAGGAAGAAGCCGCGGCGGGGAGCGGTGAGCCGAGGGCCGCGCGAGGGGGCGGGCAGGGGCGTGCGGCGGCCGCCGCTCAGGGCCCCGCGCGGCGCAACTTTCTTCCGGAGTCGCGGGCGGGCGGTGGAAGCCACGTCCCCAGCCGGGCGCCCAGCGCCGTGGGCTGCGCTCCCGGGCCCGGCGCGGCGGGGTGCCTGGAGGGTGCGCGAGGCGTGAAGCCCGAGCCGTGGGCTTCCCCTTCGGCGGGGCAGCCCCGGGGCCGGCCGTTCGCCCCTTCCCACGCCTTGGGCGCCCGGCGCAGAGCCGGGAGCATCGTAAGAACCCGAGATCGTTTTCGGTGCGTCGGCTCTGGCCCCGCCGCAACTTCCCGGACGGCCCGCAGGGCTCTGGCATCCCTCCGCCCTCCTTTCACTGCGCCCGCAGATCGGGGGATGGGGTCGGGTGTGCGGTCCCGGCGCTGGCTGCCCGCTCCGCGGCTGCGGGAGCCCGGGGAGCACGTCCCGGCTTCCCCAGACGCTGGGTGCCAGCGCTGCGAGGCTCGGCTGACGCTGGGAGGAGTTGTCGGTAAACCCACTCCCAGGCAGCCCCAGGTGGGGTGAGGCTGGGACGCTCGGTAAGCAATGCCACATGGGCTCAGGATCTGTCGCGGCTGGAATCCGAGCTAAGTTTGTGACCCGACAACTTTCTCCTTTTCATTGCTCATTTGATCGAGGCAGCAGCATCTACTTAGGCTGGCTGGCTGGCATGAAACGTTGACACAAAACCCTCTGCTTAAAAGCAGCGAGTGCACCTTATTTACCTGGAATTCTTTGGGTCAAGGAATGGCACTACTAGTTTCTAGGGGTCTTCGTGTAATTAAATCATTGACATATTTTTTTTAGTCATGCTTTGCAAAGTCATGGTTTAATTAATGTTACATTAAATTTGAGAATTGACTTTCTCACTTAGAAATAGTTTTTAGTACTTCTCACATTACAGAATGTAATCTTCCTGTAATTATCTTTTCCTCGTTTTTTTGATTTCTCAGTAAATGATAACCTGTGAAATGAAATATGATGTGCAATATTTTGTAGACTATTCAGACACCACTACTAAAATTGGATCACAAAAATGTTTGTAATGTGCACAGAAGAAATAAAATGTGGCATTATCAATCTGAGTATTTACCTATTGCGTGCTATTGTTTTCTTTTGAAGTCACCAGACAGATATAAATCTTTTTATGAAGTTTGTAGGTAAAAATGTGTTACAGTTAAAATGGAGAAAGGATTGAATTGGATACCTCCATCGTTTAGTCACCCATCTGTGTGGGCTCAGCAAAAAGTCTGAGACAATGCTGGTCACTTAGGAGACATTTAGAGCTATATGAGACTCTGCCCTAACTTTCCTGAAGCTGCTATAGAAAGGGAGAAAACCTAAGTCAACATTTGAGAGTTTGAGCTTGGGAAGCATCATTTTTCATTGATTGGTATATGTCAGATCAGTTTCATTGTTTTAGTTCAATAAAAACAGTGACCTACAAAGTACATTTTTAAAAAACTTATCTTTATTGTTGAATGTATTATAGATGTCCTTCTTCCCCCCCCCCCCCCCCTTGACCCTCTCCTCCCCAATCAAAGTACATTTTTGCTTTCAGGTTGAAAAATATTGATAGTACAGTCACCAAGTAAAAGAGAATTCTCAAAAAAAAAAAAAAAAAAAACTTGGACAAAGAAATTTGCCAGAACACATTTTGTCACTGAGGGGATTATTGGGACTTTTCCAGTCCTGCTGGTAGACAATTTAAAGTTCCTCCCTCTGAGGTTACACACCTGGTTGTGGGACACCCTTCAGGGGTGGGAAAGGGTTGGGTCTCCTCAGGCTATATAAGGCCCTCAACATCAATACCAGCTAACATCACAGGCCTGACCAAATGTAGCAGACCAATTTTTAAGTTGATAATTTTGTATGACCCATGAATGACGTTATAAATATTCAAATGGCCCTTGGCAGAAAAAAGGTTCCCTACCCCTGCAAGAAGTCAGCTAGGTTGGCCACATGAGGTCAGGACCATTATAGTGACTTCTACTTTTGTACTTATGAAATTAGACCACAATTTAGTTTATGAAGGTTTTTAATGAGATTTGTAGTCCTTTCAGTTCAGCATCTGCCAGTGCTGCTTGAGAGGAAGGAGGTGGTTACCCAAGAGGTGAAGTTCTTCACAGATGCTCCTCTGCCTTTCCCAATTCCTCATTATAAAGATATTTTCAATCTCTGAAAAGTGTTTAGAATCACAGGTGAAAATATGCTCTGCAATTAAACAATAAAATAGTTATACATTTCTTAATGTTATTTGTGATAGATTATTTTGGTATTTATTTTTACTGCCTTGGATCACACTGTTGCATGAAAGACATTACATGATTCCCTTTCAGTATTATGATGTCAACAAATGATTGGAGAGGAATAAAGGAAGATAAAATATTTAAATTTGGGTTTTAGTATATCAGCAGTGTTTGTTTACAAAAAGAGTGAAAAATTAGTAATAGAAGACTAACATGTTGTAGTTGCAGCATAGATTGAATAGTACATAACCACTGGCATATTTGAGTCCTAAATATACAGAGTAAATATTCTTATCCTTTTTTACCACCCCAATAAAAGAAGTATTGTCATTGTCCTGTGATGTGTGTGTGGTAGGCTTTTGAGATCTGAACCTGTGGTAGAGGTAACATCATCATCAGTGGATGTTGTTACTCCATTTACTGAGAGGCTGGATCTTAACTCCTCTGCAAAAAGGGAGAAGGTACCCAATGAGATTCCATGACCAGCAACCTTCTGAAAGAAAGTGTCCAAGCAGAGGATAGGACAAGTTCTTAATACTAATGAATGCCTTAGGGTTTTCTCATCTTGGATTTACATTATCTTCCCCTATGGTGATATGTAGAATAAAACTCTTTGGGAGTCACCAAATTGCCAGCAGATGTTTGGATGATACAATAAAATTCTCTAAACCAAGAGTCAGGCCCCAACATGGGAATTCATGAAGTGTATTAACCCAGAGAACTGAAAAGAGGAATTATTTCCCCATGAAATTCATATGGTGAATTAGTGAGAATGGGAAGTAGAGATTAAAATGGCAGATTCCTGAGGCACTGATCCATTTGGTGATAGCAATAATTAGAAAAGGATGAATTGCAAATAGTCGTGCCAATTCCAAAGCCCAATTCTAGTAGAGACTTCTCTTTTAAAAATTAAACTTTGCATTAAGTGGATACTATTTTAATGGGAATAATCATCTATTAAAGAAAATGTTTCTATATATGTTAGTAAATAAATGTAGATAGTTCTGATCTATCTAAATTTAGTGTTTCACAACTTCTAGGTATGTATAGAAGGTTAGCTGATGGTGGAGAAGTGCTGCAGAAAAGAATCAAACTGGAAAGAGAAACACAAAGTATTGTGGATGGGTTTAAAAAGGGGCCATTAGGATTAATAAACTCTTCCTTACACATTTATATGTGTTTAAACAATTGAAGGAAAGGAAAAGTCCCCATAGATTGTAGAGCTATATGAATACTGGCATTTTATTTTTTAGCAAGGCTAAAATTGCTTTGTACTTTTTAATTTTTTTCAAATAATACTAATATTTTTTTGTATTTCAGCCTAGTGAAAATGGAGAGTGATGTAGATGAAGGGTGTAGGTAAAAATATGTTCTGGTTAAAATGGAAAAAGAATTGAATTTGATACCTCCATTGTTGAGTCACCCATCTGTGTGGGTTCAGCAAAATGTACAAGACAGTGCTGGTCACTTAGGACTCATTTAGAGGTATATGAGACTCTGCCCTAGCTCTCCTAGAGCTGCCAATGTGGAAAGGGAGAAAACCTAAGTAAACAGTTGAGAATTTGAGCTTGGGAAGCATCCTTTTTCATTGATTCGTATGTCAGATCAGTTTCATTGTTTCAGGGGTGGGGAAATAGAAATACTGTTAAAATAAGCAATTTGTTTATCTTCTTACAAGTAATTAGTGGCCTGTCTTAAATATGAGATGAACCTAAATTGCATGTTTAATTGTACTTTTCTCCTTTATGATTCCAAATTTATGTTATTAAAGACTCTCACACTTTATTTTTCTACAGGTCTAGTTTATTTTCCCTTTTCATGCTCACTACTGTCCATGAACTGGAATGCTCATGTGTTTCTCAGGCTTCTGTAAACTGGCCTTTACAGACCCCCTTCCCACAGCTCTCTCCTCTTCCCCTTCTCTGCATCTTTTCTCATGCCTTATAAGGATTCCATTGTGGGGCCTCTTCGAATTTCTGCAGAGCCCTAGGCTCATCACTCAGTTCTCATTAGCTGGCCTCAGGTCTTTGAGTGCTTTACCAATTGCGTTGCTTACTATCTAGGCAAGCTCCAGCCTGTTGAGGGTGTAGATTCCAGATCCTCTTTCAAATGCCCAGAAGACTATAAACCTGAAGGAGGCAGAGTGTTCAGAGAGATGGTTGGAGATCACAAAGAAGAAAAGGGATTTGGAAAGAGAAGAAAAGATTGTTGAAGCTTTGTGTTTATTTCTTTCATGCAGTAGTTTGTTCAGTTCTTAATACAGAATAACACCATGAATTTTAATGTGCATAAAGATTACCACTGGATTTCTGTTTGTTTCAACTCTCTTGGGATATTCCATAAGCATGATTTTGGTTAGCGTTGTTATTAAATGTTATTAAACAATTCCTGAAAGAATAGAATTTGCCTCTTCAGTAATACTTAGAAGCTATAAAGATACTGATAATAAACATGACTTATTTTGGCATTGCATATTTGGGAGTAGCCATAACTATTATGTAAGTATAGCCCTGTTCTTAAAAATATAACAAAACACATATGCAGTTACGTCTCAAGTACACATACATGACATATTCATTGTAGGTTATTTGTGTCTATCTGCTTTTCCTAGACAGGGTCAGAGTGAGTTTGCAACTGACTGTATGTGTCTGCATGCCAAAAAAAATTTTTTGGTATTATTTATAGAATTAATAGTACCTCT